TTTCCCTTGAGCAAGGGAATCCACAGCTGCTTGGTCAGTTCTTTATCCGTCCGTCTTTGGTTACCAGCGTCACTGCCCCATGCCCCGCCCCGCCTGTGCATCTTGACCAGGTCAGCACCTGCTGCTTAATGCGGCCCAGGCCATGGCTGGGCACAACAGTAGGGGTCTCTGCCTTTGTGAAGTTGGCATTAGTGTCACGGAGGTTGGCCTGTGGTGCCCCCAGGGGTGTAGGGAGAGGGAGTGTTGGGCTCTTTCTTTGGTTACCAGCGTCACTGCCCCATGCCCCGCCCCGCCTGTGCATCTTGACCAGGTCAGCACCTGCTGCTTAATGCGGCCCAGGCCATGGCTGGGCACAACAGTAGGGGTCTCTGCCTTTGTGAAGTTGGCATTAGTGTCACGGAGGTTGGCCTGTGGTGCCCCCAGGGGTGTAGGGAGAGGGAGTGTTGGGCTCTTGTATTGCACTGAGTGTCTCCCTCGCTGCACACAGCAGGGCAGCCCTTTGGACTCCTAGCAAGCCCCTGACTGGATCCAGCTTTGCTAGGAAGTGGCCGTGGAGCTGGTCTGGCCCCCGCAGTGCGGGGCGGATGCCTCTCGGCCTTGGACAGGGCTCACCCTTGCTGCAGGGGGTTTGCCTGTGAAAGGAGAAGGGAATTAGAGCTGGAATCCAGCCGGGGTCAGGCCACATGCCAGCCTACGGTGCTCAGGGCTGGGGGGGTGCTAGGAACATCCTGCTTTGGGCTAGGCCGCCTGCATTCTGGCAAAGCCCAGGCTCGGCCCGTTGATAAACGGCAACTGGGCATCTTCACACTCCATCATGGCTTCACCTGGAGCCCCCGTCCCGCCTCTGGTGCCTCGCACACCCAGCTCGGGGGAGGTGAGAGGACACCGTGGGAAACAAGAGTCCAGTTCGGCTCCCCTGGGTGAGAGTCAGTTGCTGTGTCCCGGGGCGCTGGCTGGGGAAAGCAAAGCTTGGGCACACAGGGCCCTGGCAGAGGGGGCTCTGGGCCTAGGGCTGCTCCTTAGAGCCTCCAGGCTGCTAATGACACTTGTCCCCCTCCTGCATGTGGAGACGGGAGGCTGCCAGGGTCCCTTGGCCTGCGGCATAGAGCCAGGGTGCAAGAAACCAAACTCCGTGCTCTTAGCAGCCCTTGCCCATCCACCCAGGCTGGGCCGTAGTGCGCCGAAGGACCAGAGCCAGCCCCCCGCCCGCCCCGCGGTGGGGCTGTTGTAGCAGGGCACTCCAGGCATTTCCCACAAGCAGCGTGTGCTCGCTAACCAGGAGTCTCTGGAGGCCCTGAAATCCCCCACACCAGCTCCCCACCCCCGCTGCTGGATTTCTACTGGGGACAGCTAGTGCTGGAGCAGACGAGAGGGCTGGACTAGTCCATTGAACGGTGCTGGAGTGAACGAGCCTACGAGTGGCACCATGGGCGCAGGGGTAGGGAGGATTTTGCCTTGATCCCCCTCCCCAGGAGAAAAGTCTCCCAGTGCTCCGGGCAGCAGAGGCGCGTGGGAAGCAGCATGCAGGATACAGCAGCAGGAGAGGAAGGAAGAGAGGAGAATCCAGGCTTTGCTGCTGAGTGTTCCTTGGTGGCATCTAGGGAAGCAACAGGAGAGAGCAAACAGCTTACAAGGAAGCAGGGGCGGGGCAGCAGTAAAGCCTGGAAGCACAAGGGATTTCCCATCCAGTGACTGACCCCTCCCATTTAAGCCATTAGCAGCTGGCAGCTCTCAGGCCCTTGCCGACTGCAGGCGTCAGCCCAGGAGCAGCACAGGGCAGAGCCTGCTGGTTCTACAGCAAACCTGGGATTCCAGCTCCAGCAGCCTCCCTCTGGCACTAAGGTCACTTGAAATACCTTCCCCAGTGCATAGTGGTGTTAGGCTGAGGTGAGGGCGAGCCAGCCCCGGTTCACTAATGCCTGGGTGGGAGGGGATTCTTTCCTAGGGCACCGGAGAGACCATTACCAGATAGAGCTGGAAGGGACCTTGAGAGTCATCGGGTCCAGGCCCCTGCCCACACGGCCGGACCAAGCACCGTCCCTGACAGATTTGCCCCAGATCCCTAAATGGCCCCCTCAAGAATTGAACTCTCAACCCTGGGGTTAGCAGGCCAGTGCTCAAACCGCTGAGCTACCCCTCCCCCTCTAGAAACAATTCCACAACTGGCACACACCTCGCAAAGGAGGCCAGGCCCTGCAGTTTACCCCTAGACAAGGAGAAGGGGCAGACGGCCAGCAAGCCACAAGCACTGGTCTGGGGAGACGACGGTTCCTCCAGGGCTCGTTAAGTTAGCAGCCTAAGCGTGACAAGAGCCACTGGCGGGGAGTAAACTCTAGGCCCGTTCTAAACAGGAGGCCCGTTGGTTTTTAAACACGGCGCTGAGGGTTCGTTGAGGGGAACAGCTTCCAAAGAAGGCGACAGGCCCTCCATCCCTGGAGTCTTTAAACCAGGGTGGTCTCCTTTTGGAAAGACCTCCTCCAGCTCAGCCACAGCAGCCGGGCAGGCATCGGGAATGAACCCGAGCGGTGGTGTGGAGGGCAGATCTGACTTGAACCGCTGAAGCTGACACTGGGCAGACCCGGAGGGACTGAACATGGAGGAGAGAAGAGCACAAGCGATTCAGCCTTCTCAGTGACAAGCGCGAAGGAGTCAGGTTTTAAAAGTTCCCTCCGTTTCAGCAGCATCCCCAACATGACGGTGTCATTGGATGTGTGCGGTACAATGAGGGGGGCTTAGGCAGCCAGCTACGTCCTTACGCCCGTTCCCAAAGAGGCGGCTGCACAGGACGCATGGCACCGGCCGCCCCTTTCATCGGGAGGAACTTACATCAAGTCATCTGGAGAGTGCAGCTGGGGCCTGCCGTCACTGGAGAGGCTGGTCTAAGGTAATGCCCTGCGTGTGGTAGATCTCTTTCAGAATCAAGAGAACAGTATCTTCCGACTCCCTGGAAGAGAGGAGCGTTAGACGCCCGACGCCCACACACCACGGAACATTCGTACCGAGCCGGGGGCTGCTCTAGCCACGCATCAGACCCTGGTGCCCTTCCATGTGACTGGGATCTGCTTGCTCACATTTTCACCCTGCCAGCGTTCAGGGTGCACGTTACAAGAGGCTGGAGGGGCCGGACGGAGAGTAAGAAGCGAGGCAGCTGAGGAGACCCTCACCAGTAGCAAAGGTGGCCTTGCAGTGCAAATAAATATTCATTAAAACTCTCTATCGGCTTCTCCTGCAACACGTAGTCAATCCGATGGCCCCCGTTGAGCATTCCCACATTCACGGGGGGCGTCTCTTCCTTCCCGCCAGCCGCCGGCTCTTCGGGCGTCGCATCTGAGTGGACTTAACCAACACAAGAGTCAGCACGGTGCGTGCGAGGCCTGTCCACGCTGGCAGCCGCTCCAGGGCCGCCCTTTCACTCGAAGGGCAGCGGAGCAGCTTGGGGCTCAGGCGGGTGCTGCGAGAGGCAGACCGGGCTGACGCAAGCCGCAGGGGCGTGGGCTCCAAGCAGCGGGTTACAGGACAACACGCCAGGGAGGAGACTGTTAGCATAAAGATGCCGCCTCCTCACACTGGGATGCTGTAGCCTAGGCACAAGGCCTGTCCCCTGGGCAGTGCCCGCTCCGTGGTGCAGGGCATTGGCAGTGGGCACGTCGGCTAGCAGGCAGTGACAACGGGCAGACCAGAGCCAGGAGAACCCAGCAGTGGGTGTCCAGGCTGGTCTGGGACAATTCATTCGCATCCCGGTTACCTTCCCGCGCCGGGAGCAGTCTGAGCTGCGCCTGGTCTCCTGCCCTGGGGATTCCTCCCTTCTCGCGTTTGCACCAACCTGTCTGTTTCTCCAAACTGGCCTCCGCTTCGTTTTCAGCATCGGCGCTGGCGGCTGCCTCCACAGCGGGCAGCGGGGCTCTGGTGAAAGACTGCCAGGCGATCTTCAGGGAGCCCAGGAGGTTGTTCTTGAGATCCATCCCCATGCGCGTCAGGCCCTCTCTCAGCTCTGAAAGGCACAGGCGCCCGGGGTGAGGCCAAGGAGCAGCCGCAGCCGTTGCAGGAAGCAACAGCGTCCCCGAGCCGCCCCGCGCACGGCCCCAGGCTTTACCTAAGTGCATCCGCTTCCTGCCCTTGTGATGCGGGAGCAGCATGGGCTCGAACTCCAGGTCCGGCGCGATCATGGGCTCGATTCGGTACGCGACCGGGTCGTACTGCACGGAAGGAGAAGGGCCACGCTGAGCCGTTCTGGGTGCACCCGTGGAGCCGACGGGCCGTAGCCCGGGGGGCCCGGAGACACGCTATTGGCGCCGACCGTTCTAATGCAGCGCAGAGGTGCTCTCCCCTCGCCCCGACGCATTGGGAGTTGAACCTCTTCTGATGGTGCCGCACCTCAGCGGGGAACAGTGTCGGGGGGGGGGGTCTCCTTCCGTTTCACGGAGGCGCATCAATGGAGCAGCACTTGCAGCGCTGCTTAGTGTGTCTGACTGAGCGGGATGTAAAATCCCGTTCCACGAACTAAACGGTTTAACGGGGAGCTCCACCCCACGGGAAGGCAGCAGCCTCATGGGGGGGGGGAATCTGTTGGGCCGCAGAAGCAGTGGTGAGTGCCGGGGCTGCCAACTCAGGCTGGGTTACCCACTCGCATCCCTGGCACTGATACCCCTGTACGAGCCTGCACCTAGCCAAGGGTTACCGGCTCTCTGCATAAGAAAGCGTCCGTGTGGTTGTAACACCGCTGCAGTAGCTCAGGGTAGTAAGTAGATAAAGCAAAACCATGCGATCGTGCCTCAGCAGCACCAGCGCGGCCGCTGTTTGCTGGGCTCTGAGACACTGGGGGGTAAATTTAAAGCTAAACAGCCCAGAACGCCGAGAGCCGGGTCTGGTTCCAGTAAACAAACCGGAGGGGGCTGCAGGGAACATGTCCACCCCCAGGCTCAGTGGACACCCTAACAGAAGGCCGGAGCACGGATGTTGTCAGACCAGAGAGGTTGAACCTGTACTGACAGCTAAGTCGTCTTTGGGGGCTGTTCCACGGGGCAGGGAGAAGCCTGTAGCGCCGGCTGCGGACACGAGATCTCGCTTCACGCCTACTGATCGTACATACGGGATGGAAGATATTGAAGAAGCCCTTGCAGGTAGGAAGGCTGTAGTCTGGATCGATCCTTTTCACGCCTCGTACCGTGAGAAACATCCCGATGGGAGAGCCAAAAGCAAAGAAGATGCTGGGTTTGTAGACCAGCTGAGGGTAATTTGCGGAGACCTAGCGGAGTTAAGACACGACAGGAGTGTTCAGGAGCAGCTCCATGCACAGTCAGACACCACCACAGATGTCCCCGTGGGAACCACCCAGAGGATGTTGATTGTCACAGTGTCAGTGAGGGGATCCACCAGGGCGTGGGCCCCGCTGTGCTGCCCACACCACGAAGACGCAGGCTCCGAGAAGGGCCGGGACCGGCCCAGGTCACACGGAAGAGCCAGACACAGTCCAGCTCTCCCGAGTCCCAGTCAACGGGCTGTCCTGCCCTTCCGCAGCAAAGGCCACACCCGCCAGCGGCCGAGTTCAGCGTCTCGGCTGCGTCTATGGGGCCAGCACAGAGCCGGGCATGGTCGTGGCGGGCTCTAAGCGAGGGCCAGGGCAGCGCTCACACCAGGCAGGAGGTCAGTGCCAAGCCAAGGAGCCTCTTAAACAGGACTTAGGAGGGTGCATCTCGGGCACTAGAGTCGACCGGCAGCAGGGGCCGGGACCTGGCGACCCTGGCGCTAGCCCTGCCCTCAGAACTAGGGCCCCTCGGGCGCATGGCAAGGTGACCCTTGATTAGCAGCCCCCGCTAGTCTGAGGGCTGCGTGTTCCGCGTTCCCCGACAACCTGAGCCGTTACCTGTCCCAGCCCGACATCCAGATTCTGGCGCTTGGCCCCGCCACGGGCACTGCTGCCGGACCCCGGCTGTGGGGCTGACCCCAACGCAGCTTTGGGGGCATCTTCGCGCTTGGCCTCGTTCCCAGCAGGGAGGGGGGCCTGCCGCTGAGCGTCCTGCTTGACACAAGGGGGAGAGGTGGCAGCAGTTGCCCTTGTGGGTTCCATACAGCCGCCACGGGCAGTACACGCACAGGGCAGCCAGCCCATGGGAAGAAGTTTGAGCTCCTTCCTTGCCCAGCTCCCCACGCAGACATGCTGATCACTGGCAGTGGCTCCGTTCATATAACTGGGGGGTTGGGAGCTTTCTAGGCTCTGGGCATTGCCTCTCTCCCAGCCATAAAATAAACGGCCAAGCCTTGTACAGCCGCCACCCAGCAGAAACACTCCCGAGAGCGACCGGGCGCTACCCCACCTGCCCCAGGCACCAGCCCTCCAGCAGCGCCTCCTTCCCAAGTTCCCACGGCAGAGCTACAGCCCTGCTCTCTCAATGGTACAAACAGCTGTGCCGACCGTGGGGCTGGTGCACGTCGACGCTGCTAATATCTGTGGTGTTGCACGAGCCCCACACGACTGAGTTTTTAGAGCTGGGCTCAGACTCGCTGCTTGCCGGGCAGGTGCAGCTCGGAGGCCACAGTGCCACCGACGCGGCAGCGATGTGGGGAGATCGCTTGCGTTCTCTTCGGCGTGACCCCAGAGCAGCTGCATCCGCCGCGCCTTGGGCCGGTGCAACAGGCGTATGAAGCTGCTCTGGCAATAACGGCTTCACGGTGACACCAAACAAGCAGCCATGAGAAGCTGGACCATCCGCCCCTCCAGAAAACATACCTGTGACCCCGCTTTGGAGCTTACATAGTGAAGGATCTTCATTCTTGGGCCCAAGGGAATTCCCATGTCTTTGAGCTCTTCCTCTGTACACACAGCCTGGAAAAGGAGCACAGCCAGTTATCAGTGCAGTTCAGGAAAAGGGGGGATGCCCCTTGTCAGCACTGTCCCCTGGGTCGAATGGCTCCCGTTTCAGTGGGACTCTTCTCGAGACACGAGCAGCAAGCTCTCGATTCAGCCTCCCCCACCCACGTGCTTCTCTTCCCAGCGCCGCTGTAGAGTTCAGCACCCCACATGTGGGAAAGCCGGGCTGCTGCTAGCCGAGGCAGAGTCAAAACCCCACAGTGGGAGGAGTCACCCAGGCTTACCAGCAAAACCCGGGAAAGTTAGGCCAGAGGGCATAAAATAGCTGTGAGAACGCGCCCTGGTACCATGGTGATAGGCAGAGAAGAAAAACATGAACTCTTAATAGATCTGCAGGCCAGCAGTGACACCCAGGAAACTGGCCATTTGTGGCACACGTGTTCCTGCATCCACTGCGAACGGTGAAATTCGCAAATACCGAGAACCGTGGCTCCTGGCCCTTGTGGGCCCCCGTGGCTCCCGAACTCGCTGTGGGGCTGGGAGCCGGGGGGAACTCACCGTGGCTCTTGGCAGCTGTGGCGAGTCCCCTGCGGCTCCTGGCAGCCGTGGTGAGTCCCCCACGGCTCCCAGTCCCCCGCTGAGCCCCCCGGGCCGGGAGAGGAGACCGGTGTCCTATACAAGAATAGTGACCATTGTGTGGGGAGAGCTGCTTTACCAGTGCTTGTGAGTCCACCCTCTCCTTCTCAAAAACACTGTAGTACTCCGACAACTCAAGCTTCTTCAGGATTTCTTTCACTCCCCCAGTGTCTCCCCGTTCATAGGCACCCATCTGGGACCCCTGAAAATACAGCCACGTGGGTCGTGTTTACAGAGCTGGTCTCCCACCATCCTGGGAGTTGGTGGGTGGGGTGGGGGCGGGGCCTGGCAGGGTAGTGCTGAGAATTCAAAGCAATTCTGCTACGGAGGCAGGAGACAACAGCAGAGCTCCCAACATGACTCTCTCTGGGGGAATGCTGAAGCGCGGACGTAGCCCACGGGTGTCCCCATGGATCCACGAGACACATCCACGCCAGGGACCATTTACCTCTCTCTTGCCGTCTTCATCCTCAGAGGAATCTTTCTGATTTGTTAGCAGATCAAACAATATGAGTGACCCTAGAAAACAGCCACATACGGAGTCTCTGAGAAGAGCATCAGATCTTATGCTGGAATACAAATATATTACATGCCCTTTCCCTCTTGAACAGGGAACCAGTCTCTCCCCTCCCATACTCCAGTGTCCCACGGTATGGGAAAGGGACTTCTGCACCGGATTGCAGCCCGGAGTTCTGCATGCACACGGCACAGCCTGTAGATTCTACGTCGCTAGGCACAGAACTAAACCCTTTACCTAAACTATGGCCGGCGATGGAGACGCCCCCTTTGAAGTCAGGGTTCCTCTGCAGGAAGAGCAGATAGAGCCGGTTCATTTCTGACGCCACGGTATCCACGATGGTCTGGCAGTAGGTGGCGCTGTTGTAGAAGAACACGTCCAGGATGGTGTCGTTTATGAAGTGACGCAGGCGGTTGATGCTCGGCAGGGTGATTCGCTCCAAATCGCTAAACGCAGAGCAGAAAGGACCCTTCAGCGGGACACCGATTCCCCCGCGGCTCCTGGCGCTATTTCCTGGTAGGGCTGTAGGGGGAATCCCGGCTCTCGACAACCACGGCTGGTATGAGAGTGAGGGTTTCACCAGAATCCCTCATTAACAGAGCCTCAGACAGGGAGCAGGGTCCTGCCAGACGGGGAACAAAGAGCCAATCTGCTCCAGGAGCATTTAAGCAAGCTCCCCCCTGGCACAGCTGGCAGCGCATTTCCGCCATGGCATTCAGGAGCGGCTGGCTCAGAGCAGCTTAGACAGACGTCCGTCAGGGATGATCCAGAGCAGGGCTACTCAACTTTGCAAGCCCCGGGGGCCACAGTGATCCTCACAGCACATACCGAGGGCCACAGCTCAAGCATGGTTGCATATATATGCAAATAGCTTTTCACACTGATAGGCGAGACTACACGACATGCAGGCCCCATGGAAGTCAGTTCTGCTGATGATAACAAAATGCAACATTGATCCGATTTCCACCCAATTTGCATTTTTAACGAGCAATGACAAGTCTAGGAATTTAACTAGTAAAACACTTCTCAACAGAAGACCTTTATATGGACTCGCCGTTGCAGCGTGTTCCCCGGGGAGGCCACGTTCAAAGCATCCCACCCGTGGGCCGTGTGGTGAGCCCCGCGTCAACCCAACCCGCACTGTGGGCGGCAAACAAATGGGCCACGAGCCTCACACGGCCTGCAGGCGGCGTGCTGAGTAGCCTGGTCTAGCCATGTGGGCAGGGGACTGGACTCGATGACTCGCGAGGTCCCTTCCAGTCCTACTGGTCTAGGATTCTGTGATTCAAGGCACTCAGGGCCTTAGAAAAAAATCTCCTTCAGGTGAATTAGGTATCAACTCTCACTGACTTCCGGACTGGAGCTAACCCCTGCTCTGTGCTCCTGCATCACCTGGAAGCGCCTGTCCAGCCTTCTGACTTTACATGCCAATACATCACTTATGGGGTAGCTGACACTAGACATCAGCTTCACGAGACAACTGGACAGGAGGGCTAGATCCGACCAAATCCTGGTCCCTTTTTACCTTCGCCTGCGTCTCCCCTGCCGCAAAGCTCCTCTCTCGCTTCCCACCCACTGCAGCAAAGGTGAGGCGCTTTCCAAAAGAGCAAGACGCTCCTGGATTTCGTTCCCTGCCGCGCTACAATTCACTTACACGTCCACCCCTGTGGAGTGCAGGGGGCTGTGCCAGTTCACGGGCAGGAACTCCACCCGGCCAATCTGTTGCTGCTCCTGGGCTTTCTTGAAGTGCGCTTGCAGCATGCTCAGGGAAACGGCGCGGAAATCGTTGACTGGGAAGAGAAGAGCAGCTCTGCATCACGGCCTAGAAAAGCCAGCTCTGTAGGGAGAGCCTCTTGCCTTCGCTCTGCTCAAGGACCTGAGTTAGAGGGACGCTGCCACCTGATGACCAGGCAGCCATCCTCAGTCTGAAGGTTTTTAACCATCTCACCGTTTGCGCTGTAGCAAGTCAGTTTCCCCAGTTTGCGTGGGCCCTTCACATAGCAAGTGAGAGACACTTCTTAAAGCTACGAAACCTGCTGTGCAAGTCTCGCGCGGCGGTAGGGAGACAGAGCAGAGACTGGATTTGAAACCACTTGGTTTGGTTCACTGATAGTAACCTGCGCATGGGAAGTGTCAGAAGGCTTGACTGCGTGAAAACCAAAGGGGCGCGTTACCCCCAGTAGAGACATTTGGCCCCACAAAACAGCTTTGGGTTTTACATTTTGCCTCATCTGACCTTTCCTGTTTACGGCCCACAGCCCCCCCAGAGCGCCTCGCCACGACTCAGCACTTGCACTGACAACACTGTCACAGCATTTCTGAAGCCCCCCCCACACACACACTTTTACTACCTCGCAGTAGACCGAGGGGAGGGCGAGTGTCTCAGATTTATTCAGTCACTTGAAGAACCTATATCTGATTTGGGAAGCTCACTATTTTAAGGGTTAGGGGACAATAAACATTCTGATAAAAACGACTGTCCAGCTCTGTCCACATAACAGGCTTGCACTGCTCCTGGTTACAAAGTCAGTGTTCAAGCTACTCTTCTTCAGCGTAGGGATGTGAAGGGCTAGTCGACTGTCTGGTGAGCAAATGCTTATTGGAGAGTCGACAGGACTGTCGACGAGTCGCTTCCCCCTCCTTGCTGCCTCTATCAGATAGAGGCAGCAAGGCAGGGAGAAAAGAGGGGGTCCTTAAAAGCGGCAACGCTGCTTGGAGCTTGAGGCCAGGCCCAGGGCTCCACGCAGCACTGCCGCTTTGAAAAGCCGTGTGCAACCCCGGGCCAGCTGGGGTGTCCCCAGGCTGCACGCTGCATTTCAAAGTGGCAGTGCCGCGTGGAGCTCTGGGTCAGCTGGGGACTCCCGAGCTGACCCCAGGCTCCGTGCAGTGCTGCCGCTTTGAAACGCCGCAGGGAGCCCGGCATCAGGCTCCTCATGGCATTTCAAAGCCGCAGCGCCACATGGAGCCCAGGTTCAGCTGACCCTGGGCTCCACGTGGCGCTTGCTACACTTCAAAGGCAGAGGCACCCTATCGACTAATCGAATAGTCGATGCAAAATGCAGCATTGGGAGTTGGAATGCAAAATGCAACGACTATTTGCTTAGTCAATTACCCGATACTTAACATCCTTACTTCAGTGTAGTCAGCAAGTCGTGTCTCACAGCTTGCTAAGATTATGGTCAAATTCTTTCCACGAGAGATGACAGCACCTCGTGTGGTTTGCCATCCAACCTGTGTTTATTTGCTCTCGGAGAGGCGATGCGTCCCCTCCGGGGCACACCTACCGCACTGGATGATGGACCGGAACCGGATATCACAGGCTGGCCCAATTCCATGAACCACGAACACCAAGTGATCTATCTGCAGAGGCTCCCCTAAGAGGAAAAGAGAGAGAACAGTTCGCACAACGTGCCCAGCAGCTAGCCGTTTGCCTAACTGAGGAAACGCTCCTTTGAGCGTCGCTGCCGAGGCCGCCGTGGGGAACACTCTGCACTGCACGGCCCTGCTCTCGGTTACAGGCTGTAGAAACGACGGATATATTAGGGTTGGGACACGAGGAAATCTGCAGTGAGATGAGGGGTCCCTGCCATAATCTCAAACAACGTTTCCTTTTTAAATTCTCTGGAGTTGCATCGCCCCGGGCAAGACAGACCGGGGCTGAGAAACGTTTCCCTCCACCTTGCTGGATCCTTACCGCAGGGGATGTCAACCGAGATGTTCTCCACTCCTCTCTTCACAGTCCTCGGCCGGCCCTGTTCGGCGGGGGAGGGGCCCCAGTCATCAGAGGTTGCCACTGGCTGGTAGTGCACCATCAGCTGAAGGACACGGGGAGAAGAGCGGGAGAACTCGGGGGCGCGTGC